CATGCGTGACAGACATAACCCTAAGGAAGCAGAGGACACTATAATCAGCCCAAAGCATTTCTTTTCCCAGTGCTGATTGTCTGCAGTTACCATTATGCCCTCTTGGTACTAGAAGTACCCAAGTCAAATTCAACACCCTTGGCCTTGATTCTTCTAATGTCCTTGGTACAGGTCAATGTGCCAAATTCCCTGGTAAGGGGTTTGCAGCACACTTGAGGTTGTGTATAGATAGGAAAGGTCTCTGGTCTACAGCAAAGAGCTTTCATGGTTTCTTCTGACATGCTCTTCGGAAATACTGCTTGACTCCACTCTTCATTTCTTAATTTCCACCTCAGTATAAAGAAAAATACAATTTCAAAAACAATCAAACGTCCACATCTCGCTGCAAAGACTGTCATTATTTGCTGGCAGTAAGATGTACCGATAATGCCCCAAAAGCCATGCTATTGCGCATGATGCCTGTGTCATTTAAGTGTGGCAGGTTACTGTGGATATGGCATACCATTGTGACATTAAGTATGTCTTCGTATCTTGCACATGCACCCCAGAGCCACAAAGCAAATACGTGTCTTGCAGGAAGGATGAGGAGAATTATTAATGTTATGTCTTCAAAATTCCTTGCAAAATTTCGTATACTAAGATGATAGATACTAAAGGAAGGACATTGATAGGTTAGCCGGAATTTTCCTAATTTTCCCTTCTAACAGAAGGAGTTCATGAACAGAAATGTATTTATCATTTTGGGTTAACAACTGTTTCTCGTATTCAAGTTCTTCTTACTTTTGTTAGACAATCAGACTTATCGCTCAGACACTTTTATGTCTGCAGCTCCTGAGATGAATAGTATAAAATAAGTGTATTTCTCTGTGATCTATAGATGCTTATTCTAGGGCAAGCAAGGGAAATTCTTTCCAGTATGTATTACTGTTACATACCAGTGTATGTACCCTTCCCCCTGGAGTTATATTAGCCCAGAATTATTTCCCCCTTTTCTTGGATTTTTCTGGTTAACACACTACATTGGACTTGGTGAATTACTGAATTTCATGCTTTTGGGGTGATTGTAAAGCAATAACCCATTGTATCTTAGTTTCTTTTAAGACTTATTTATGCCTAAGACAGCAAACGCAACTAACTTTGTACAGCAGCTGTAATTTCTAATTCTACATCAAATATACCCTTGAAAGATTTAGGGACCCAATCTCCTGATCCCGCAGGCTGATTATGCATGGTGTGGCCTTGGAAGTAAAACAAAATAACTGAAGATGGAGGAACATCTCACATGAGTGAACTAATAAATTGTGTATTTGCAGCTCATCTATCTGGTTTACAACCTTTCATGAATAATGAAAAATGCATAAGCTGAATGACACTTCTGTCCCTTTTCTCCTTCTCTTCATAGAATCATTAAGGTTGGAAAAGACCTCTAAGATCATCGAGTCCAACTGTCGACCCAACACCACCATGCCCACTAAACCATGTCCCTAAGCAACTAAACCACGTCCCTAAGCGGGACTCAGACTTAATCAGATCTCACAGCTGGGTGCATCTGTCCCTGCCACAAGAGGGAGGGGAGGCTGCGGAGTATGGTCCTACTCAGATTGCATGTTATTTCATTCTAGAATGCTCTGATGCCCTAATGCCAGAAAGATGTGAAGTAAATCATAGTCTCGTTAAGCTCATGCTTAATGAAAAAATTTTAGTGTCTTGCTGACACAGGGAAAAAGGCATCAAAAGAAAGTCACCGTGATGGGTGGGCTAGATGGTTGGGGGTGGGAAAGAGCAGTCACTGGCTGTAGGAACAGTTTACAAGGCTGTCCCCTCTTGCACACCCATGTGCAGGCAGAGCATGAGCACGTATTACAGCTGTAGCAGCCAGAAGAACCACAGCAGCCTCCAGAACACCACGGTTTGCTGCTTGAAGGACAAAATCAGATTTTATTTTTAGTTTTTAAAACAGATTTAAAAGATCTATCTTTTTGTATTTAAAACACTAAGGTGACAGTTGATGAAACACCACCTGATAAGCCAATCCCTGGCTACAGAAAGTAGTTAGTTCAATTAATTAAAGGTCACATTTCCAAAAGCAGCTCAAAAGAGCGTGAAGGTGTTTTTCCAGCCAGCTGTAATCAGCAGTGTCACTGTTAGCTCTTATGTGCTCTCTGGTGGCGAGATGTTTGCTGCAGACGAGAGGACTGCAATGGACTTGGTGCAAGAGAGTCCGTGACGCTACGTGGCAGCCACTTCGCTTCTGTTTTAAACTCCAGCTCTTGCTGGAGTAAAGAAATCCTGTTTAATTAGGAAAAGGAATTTTAGGAAACAGCACATTCTCAGTCCAGGTTCAGAATTAGAGAATATGAAATGGGCTGTGTTTTTGGACTCAGCATCTCTCTACATGTATAGATGTATGATGAGATAGTAACTTTTCAAAGGCTCCTCTCTTAGCTCTTCACCCGTGTGATTTCAGCTCTGATGCTATCTTTGTGTATACCGTGTCTCAGGCAGCGTTTCAAATACGCCTGTGTTTCTCTTGCGTGGACGTCTTCAGTCTGACCTGTTTAATCAGCACAGAAGCATCGTATGGGGAAAACTACAGCGCTTTCCAAACGGTGTCTCCCGTAACTGACAGGAAGACTTCATAATTAACATTAATTTGGCAAAGCTGAAACCATCCTAAAGGGAATTGTGCTGCACATTCAGATGCTTAATAGCAGTTAAAGGAAACTTTAGTGAAAGAAAATACCTAGACAGTAGTAAAAGTACCACTCCATGTGTATACAGGATTTCTGTCCAGCCACAGGCACTAAATGCAATGCAGAGAACAAGAAAGCAGCACGTAGCCATCAGAAATAGAGTCTCCAGGAGTCACTGGGACCCACATCTGCTGAAGAGAGAGGGTCAACAAATGCAAAAGTCCTACACGTCCTCAACCTGGCTTCAGAGGAGAAAACAGGCTGGGGTCTCTTTTGGGACTATAGGAGCACAGGCTTTGGTGCAAGCCAGGCTAACCCCAGGTGACTAATCGTGCCTCTATATTTGCCTAGAGAGACCGCTTGTAGTACAAGTTAAAACTGGACCAAGAACATCAAAACACTGTAAAGGTAAGTCGTTGTGTACTTGAATTATTACGTTTCCAGGTGACGTGCTACAAAGGTGAAGGTGAATGTACTCCAGGCTTCCTATATTTCATGTACTTCTATTCAAAAGAAGGTCAAAATTCTATGTAAAAGTTTTTTAATTTAAACACATTGAGCTGCAATGGAAGGAAGAATCTGGCTATGTGTCAGTGAATGAAAAAGCCATGTAATCTTAAGGAATAAGCTGTGCAGGTTAAGACAAAATCGCCAAATGAGAAGGTCATACAAAACTCTCTCTCTCACTGGCCAAAATCTGACAGACCCTGTACCTGGCACGGTGCTGTCACTCCCAAAGTCTTGTAGAGATATGAATGAAAGTGGAAATTGTCCATAGTCTTTTGCAGAAGACCGTATTTTAAGCCTATAAGGTGTATGTTTTACAGGAGAGGCTTTATAAATGCTGAGGATCTTCATTTATCTCCTAGCCCAAGAAAGAACATCACACTGCTGTCCACTTAAAAAGTGGTCATGAAAATAAAAGTGACAGATGCACAACTGTTTTCCTTACAAATTTCAGAGTATTACAGGAATTCTCAGTGTCCATCCATGCCTATGGATGCTGTATAGCATCCACACAGCTGCTCAAAAAGGGCTTCTGGGGGTTTTACTCCTTCATACCCAGCAGAGGGTGGTAGATGCTAGAATTTGCACTTGCCATAATTTGGCAATTGCTGTCATTTGGATCAATTTTCAGCTATGAGTTTGTTTCATTAATATCTCTCATTAGCTGAGAGATATTGATGTTGGCTCATACCTGCAGACACACAGGGCAAATTCAGT